CCATACAAGCTCCCTTGCCTTTTGAAAGACACAGCGGTGTGTAGGAGACGGGAAGGGTTATTTTAGGTGCTAGGAAGGCTGACCCAGCTGCTTGACCTGCCTGAATCTCTGTTACTTTACCCATTTACACAGCCTCCTGTAAGATGAATGCTGCGCTTCTCTTGCTGTTGGATTAGGTTCTGAGATTTTAAGGAAATTCCGAGTGAAACAAATCATGTTTTCCTTTTTCGGGCTGTAGAACTAGGGTGGAGCGAGGAGGCAGGCAGCCGGTTGTCCAGCTCCATCCCCTCTGGCTGTGGGTCAGGGAGTTGCTCCCTGGCTGGGATCCCTCGCCAAGTCGAGTTATCCTCAGATAGCTGGGGACCTTGTATGTCTGGCTGCATCCCCCCATTTAACAAAGGCAGCAGAGACCCGGCTGGAGAGAAGGCGAGCTTCCTCTGGCAAATTTGTCTGCTTCTGTCCCGGATGGCCAAGTGACCTGGTAGTCAGGGAAAAGCTGATCTAGGCAGCTGGGCTGACTGTGGGCAGGTCAGTGTCTCTTTGTGTCAATTTCCCGAGGTAATCCACCCAAGAAGTAGGGAGAATTGTGCAGAGAAGCCGTTTGCTCTGCTGCAAGCCAAAAAAAAAAAAAAAAAAACAAAAAAAAAACAAAAAAAAAAAAACGATTCCTGGCCATTTGGGGCCTATGCCAAACCGATTTCCAGTCCACGGTGACCCCAGCACTCTCAGCAGCCTTCTGTGCAGACTTGAGCCGGTTTTAGGGGAGACTCTGATTCTGCAGAGTGAGCCATGAAACAAATGAGTTGGGTCAATACTCTGAGAGGTGGGCAGGCACCGCCAAGGAGCAATAGGGGAACAAAATAGGGAGGACTGCCCCCTGCACATCTTTCCTCGCAGGCAGGAATCCAGAGACCTTTACTGCCTTCTGTGCAGAGTCCAGAGACCCAGAGGTTGTGCCTCTGGCCCTTGGGAAGATGGCTTCAGACTCCGTGGTCTCCAAGCTGTGTGCCAGCATAAAGCAGGTTTTTTCAGGTGCTGTTTAGCTACTGTTAACGCCTGTGTCTCTGTCCCTCCTTGTCCTGGCCTTCATCTGCCCCTCCTCAAGAAGTACTCCCTCCCCTCATTTCAATCTCCCTGGCAGCACTGTGGGGGCTGGGTCCCAGCCAGCCTAGTACTGGCTTCTCTGGAAGTGCCCTTGGCTCTGACACTGAAAGCTATTTGCTTGCACAACATAGGCCCCCTCAGGGGTCCCAATTTACTGGAAATTGGGGGAAGTACAGTAGATCCTGAGAGACCCCTAAAGTAGTAGGGGCTCAGAGCAAGTCCCACTGACCTCTTCATTTTCCTTCCTGGTCCAGATCAGTTTCTTCCCTTCCCCAGTTGTTCCCTTCTCTCCTACTCCTCTCCCTATTACTATGGGAGAACCTTAGAGTAGAGGCGGTATGGGGGCAGGTTCTGGTACTACAAAGAAATGGTTTTCTGAGGTCCCCTGTCCCCACCCCTTATTCCAAGCTTTTCTTTTTCATCAGGACAATGACCTCTCCCCTCCCAGATGTTTCTATCCTCAGGTATGTTACCAGTTATAAAACACTTTTATATCAGAGTGACATCCAGACCGCTGAGTTACACCCATTTTACAGAGTATGATATTGAAATTAGAGAGACAAACAGACTGAACGCAAGTTCATACAAGCAAAGCTGGATTCGGTTCTGGGATCTTCCAGGATTCATGGAAGTGGAGAAAGAGGGTCTATGAGAGGGCGGTGGACTGTCTGGATGGTACACATCTGTGCAAGGCCCTCTCTTTCTGCCTGGTTTAAGTGCTTCTGTATCCACGGCTAGACTGTACTTGTGTGTCAGCACCTATCTGTTGGTTAGAGAGTCCATTGACGAGGTTTCATCCCTGCCCTTCCCTTGTGTTCCTGTTTGCACATCTGTGTGTTTCTTCGTCTGTTGTCTCTGCTACCACTAAGAAGAATTTCAATAACCAGGGTTCTGAAGTTCAATCTGGGCTGTCAACAGAGACCTTCTCCCTACTACCTTATGCCCTGGTGGGCAACATCTCCTCTACTAGCTGAGGAGCATCTGTGGAGGCTGACTCCTAGACATGGGCCACAAAGGCACCAGGGCATCTCCAATTCAACCTTCTTTCTCCTCCACCTCCAAACTCTGTATTGTTTGCCCTCTGGGAGTAGGGCTGTGTTTCCCTTGCATCTGTGTCTGTTTCCTGGTTTTTGCCTTGATTTGTTTGCATCAGTCTCTATATCAGCCTCAGTAAATTCTACTTACCCCTGTAAAGTGTAACTGAGTGTATTATCCTCTCCACATCCTCTTTGGTATAAATCCTCACCCAACTGGAGTGCACAGGAAGTAGAGGGTAGAACTGGGGTTCTCAAGGGATCTGCAGGGCTGGAGCTACAATCCCAGAAAACAAAGATCCCACTCTGTACAAGTTCCCTGTCTCCCAGATGCCCTGTTAATTCACTTCCTCCATTTTTTCTTCTCTTTCACAGAACTTGCTACTCGCCTTCCATTCTTCCCTCTCTCCAGACTCCCTCAATCCCTCCCTTCCTTCCTTCTAGGCCTGTTGTGGCTGATCCTTTCCTTTTTTGTCCTACTCTGTCTTCTTAAATGGCTTCCCTTCCATGCTCTCCTTGCTGTCTGTCTCATTTAGTCTGTGCATGCCACAACCTTCCCTCATGCCTCTTTGCTTCTATCCTGTGTCCCCTCTCTCGGGCACTTTTACTTCTTTCCAATCTCAGTTGCCTTCTCTGACCACACTTGCAAATCACTACCCTGCCAGCCTTGAAGTGCTCTATTGGTTAGGACAATAATTGAGGCAGAGTCAAGTGAGTTTGGGGAGATTTTCAAGATGAGGGAAGTAGGGGGCTCCCAGGTCTTTCTGGGCCTGGTTTCAACCATGGACATGTGAACTGGACCCTGGAAGAGCATTGGTAGCTCAACCTTTGTGGTCAAGAGTAGGTTTGGAGACCTATTGCCACCTAGAGGGTCTGATCTGTGCAGTTTTCCCCATGATACCTGTGGCCCCCCACTGCTCACAAATGTCTTGTAGGGTTAATCTTAGAATTTAAATCTTTTGAAGGTTGCCACTGGGTTTTGGATGGAAACCTAGTGGTTTCCATCCCCATTAGTATTAGGGAACAGGCTATTGCAAATGGGCCGCAATGCCTGAGCTGATGGGTTACCTCAAAAGTGTGCTGAGTGCTTTTAGCTTCCTTTTTTATCCATTCAGATGAATTGGTACCATTTTGAACTTACTTCTTAAATTCAGGTTTTGCTTGAAAGATCTGCTCAACCTTTTTTTAGTAGGTGCTTCCAACCCCAGAACAAAGACTTCTTTAAGATACTTGACCACAGGTGGATGCAGTCTTTCTATTTTAGGTTAACTATACATTTATATTGCTAGCTGCAAAATACTGTACAGAATAAATTTCCTTTTTCTTGTGTCTAGAGTCTTTTAGAATAATTTTAGATTAATTCATTCATTTTGAAAACCAAGAGAAGTTCAGTTAAAACTAAAACTAATTTTGCAGTTATCTACAAAATTGTGTTTTCCCTGGAAATAAAGCCTGAGGTTGGAAATTTTAGGAAATGTTCAATTCAGATTCTTATGGGATACTTCAGTGAATTTCCTGGCAGATTTTTTAGGAAAAAAGATTATGTTATGGGTATTTACACACACCTCCACCCCTATTTCAGATGTTCGTGAACCTGGCTAGTACTTGAGAGGGGGTGAAGGGGAGTAACTGAGACGAGGGGGTTATTTTATGTTTTAAAGTTGGAGTGGTATATTTGTGTAACCTCTGAGATTCCCTGCTTCCATAGTGCAGTGAAGTCCCAATTTAAGAGGAGACTTCCCCATCCTTGGCATCTGAGCTGCCAGCAGCATTGGTAAATGCTTGGACTTGGCGTTTGCCTTTTGAGTCAGTTAGTGGCTGATTAACAGCTACAAGGTCAATGTTTTTGCTACACTGGACCACTCTGTGTTTACTGGTTTGGTTCTTCATTTATTGGATCCATCCTTACAGATGGACCTTGATGTAAGTGAAGGGAGCATATTGGATAGAAGAGAAACTTCTTGGACTCCTTTTACTTAAAACTCACCCTAGGTCCCTTGTAAGGCCTGGGACTCAGAAACCTTCTCTATTTCCCCTGAATCATCTTAAAACTGCTTGTCAACTGCAAAACACTCCAAAAATTCCAGGGAATCTCCTTTATAAGAAACCCTGATTCAGCAGAGTGGAATGTGATCCTCTGACTCATTTCTTTTGTATGCTCACAAAGGGTAGTGTGGTCAAATCTGCAGGTCAGCTTCACCTTTTTGTTTATTTATTTCCCTCCCACTTTTAGTGAGGTATGAGCCTCACTTTTTAAAAGGAAGAGTTGTTGTTGTTTTTAATCTAAGCAGTGGGTGGATTTTGCCTTAGTACTTTGCAGATACTGTTTTAAATATGTTTTTTAAAGGCCTGAGCCCTTTAGTGAGATTACCGATATTAAAAAAAAATTCACCCCCCCTGAGATTTAGGTTTATTGGAGTAGTTCTTTTCACAATTAATATTTGTTAAAAGGAAAAGAGCTTCACTTAAAAATCTCTTCAAATCTGATTGTTAAGACATATTTTCTCCCCCAAATCTTTCTTAGACCTCAACATCACATACATAAGTTGTGTCACTAATATAAATTGGGATCTTCACATATTCCACTGCTAAAAACTTTGCAAGGAAAATGCCAGCAACCGAAAGAAAATATTGTGGGGATGCTTTCTAGCAATAGCCCAATAGACCGGCAGAAGATGGACTAGAGTTAAGATTAATTTTTAAAAACTGTCTGAGGTGCTCGGTAGTCTGCTCCTTTAGGCTTCAGGCTCAAGACATCCAAACTACAGCCATTTCTGATCCAAGGGGCTCTGGGTGTTACTTCTAGTCTGTGACTGGTTCTAACCACCCTTTTCCCTTGCCTTTGTTTCTGATCTGTTTCAGGACATGGAGGAGTGAATCAGCTTGGGGGGGTTTTTGTGAATGGACGGCCACTCCCGGATGTAGTTCGCCAAAGGATAGTGGAACTTGCTCATCAAGGTGTCAGGCCCTGCGACATCTCCAGGCAGCTTCGGGTCAGCCATGGTTGTGTCAGCAAAATTCTTGGCAGGTAAAGGCAGGAGCTACAATACAGGCTTCCCTTGATTTTTCAAACAACCACCTAAGATGGAACCTAGTGGCTACCCAATGTATAGGTCAGAGTGAGCATCACGGTATCACTTTGCTCCATTGCACAGCACTTTAGAGTTTACAAAGCCCCTTGGAGGTCATTCAGTACCAGGTAGCCATGGGAAACCTCTGTTAAAGTGACCCATGGAATGGGGAGACCAGTCCAGATGGATATGCCTTCTAAAAGCCTGAATGATTCCAAAGTACCCAAGAGTAAAATGTTCTTAAGTATTTCCCATTGCACACCTGGGGTGAGCCCAGGGCCTGAGCAGGGCTGTGTGGAAAACCCACAAGTTGTATATCACTAACCAGAGTTCAATATTCTACTTGAATGTTTCAAAAGCACATTCCATTTTTAAAAGTCAAGTCTCATTTTTCTGTTCTGGGTTATCATCAACCCTGTTATGTTGGGCTGCAATATTTTTCTTCTATCGGCATTGTTTCCTTTGTAGTGACAGGCATCCTAGGTATATATTAAATTAAAGAAGAGAAAAAATCAAACCAAACACAAACTCTCAAATCTGACACTTGAAACTTGCCACTTGACCCAGTGATTTGCTGCAAGCAAAATACTAACAATGCCGAGTCTCCCAGAGGGCCGTTCAGCCTTTTAGTGCTGCCCTCGTTTTATTTCCTCGCCTGAGCCTCAGCACAATGCAGGGATGCTTGTTTTGAGACGAGGAAACAAACCTAAGAGAGACGAAGTGAGTGACCTGTGTCCATAGGGCTGGCCAGTACTTGAACTGTGAAGAAAGGATTCCTTGATCATCCCCATCACACTATACCCCCAAATCAAAGCCACCGTTTTGTTTTCAGGCATTGAGAAGTTGTGCTGGCAGCCAGGAACCTTCTCGGCTATTGCTGTTCTTTACCCTGAGTTAGAAAACAGCCTTTGTCCTGTTGCATTTTGGCTTGAGAACAGATGCCTGAATGGCAGAGAAATATTTCTGAAGTATGTGCCTTTGTGACTTGCTGCTTGCTCTTGCCCTCCCATCTGCCGCGGTTTAAGACATTCTCTCAGGTGAAGGAAGCAACAACTTCTAACCTTGGAAGCGTTGCTGGGGCCAAGGAAAGAAGTTCCAGAGCCAGGGGTCTGGCAACCCTTTGAGGGACCTTGATCCCTATGTTTCTCCCTCTTCTGCCTGCTCTTCACAGGTGACCTCAATAGTGCAAGTTGGGGGTGCCACTCCGGGTTAGTACTCAGCAAGCAAACGGCCCCCAGCCACAGTTCAGGAAGAAGGCAGAGTTCTGAATCAGTAGTGTGTTTTTGGTAGATGGCAAAGCTGAGAGTAAGAAAGAGGAAAAGTAGAGGAGAGGTAGGTAGAGGTAGAGAAAAAAGGAAACAAAGAGAAAAGAGAATGATTAGAGAGAGAGAGAAAGGAAGACAAGAATAAAGGAGAGAGAAAAGAGAAATATTTCCGATTCCCAGCATTAGACTTGTACAGCCGAGTGGATCTCAGCTCCTCGTTGGGAAGCCACTCCACTAGACTGAAGGAGAGAGAGAAAAAAGAAGGCTCTTCCTTTGTTTTTGCTGAGACATCTTTACTGAGCCGACATTTTGCTTGATGTTTGAAATCTTCTCAGGGCAAGAGCTGAGCCCTTCTCAGAGGGAATGTCCAAACGCCAGGTCCTCATGCCCTGGTGCCAGAAGCCCTCCATTTCTCTCCTGGAGATTGAAAGGGACAGGGACCCTTGGCAGACCCGGCCGGCAGCCTCCCGAGGCCGGAATAGATTTGTCACTAGGTACAGTGGCACTCGGAAGTTACGCGCCGCTCCGGTGCCTGGCCGTTTAAGTTGTCAACAATAAATTGGAATTTCATAGCTCATTATTTTCATAACTAAGAACCACAGTGGACAAAATGTCACTCTAATTAGAACTGCCTTTTAAGAAACAAGTTCAGCCCTAAAACAGTGTGACTGGAAATTTCTGAACTGGGGCTGTTCCATCCACTGAGTTTTTTTTTTTTTTTTTTTGGTCACCTAAGAATTTGATGGGCACACATGGGTGACAGATCGTGGAAAGTGTGCGGTGGCTGTGTTTTCAGAAACTGCAGGGCCAGGCAGGCAGAGACCCTGCAGGCACGCAGGGACCCCCATCATCTCGGAAGTTGGGCAGTCTGCCAGTAGCGTGGGTATTCAGTCCACGGAGCTCAAGACTCCAGAGGGGCATGACAGGCACAGCCTGGTGGCTGGAGGCCCATTTAAATCCACCCAGAAGACCGGGATGTTGTCTTCTTTCACTGGAGACTGAGTGGAAGGCTCAGACAATTTGGAACTAGGTGAAGGTTTAAATCCACAACATGTGGTCTTTGTTTTGCTAGGCTTTTTCTTAACCATTCTGTATTTCTGTCTTCAAAACAGCCCTGCATGCAGGGCAGGCATCACCTTCTTATATAAATGTGATGTCTGAGACCCATTTAGGGCAGTTAAGCAAGTTGGCCTAAGCCATACAGTGTGTTGGTTTCAGAACCACTGACTAGTAACTACCTTCTTGACTCCCAAACAAATGGTCTTTGCTCAGAACTGCAGCGTGTGTTTGTGGCTGCTGTTTGTCTGCTGAGTGGAAACTAAAGGGCTAAGTGACTGTTGTGTGAGATAAAAGAACTGTTATTTAGTCTGAATCCTCACTTAATACAGTTGCAGGAGAGGTTTTCTGAGTGCAGGGTTGTTTTCTTGGTGCTTGACCTGTGTGTCAGCTAAAAGGGAGACAGAGATCTCTCAGGTCACACCATGACTTGCCAAGGTTGGCATTGCTCAGATGAGATGGGTAGAGAGGGGCTTGTATGCAGGGCAAGTGGTGGGGGAGAGGAGGCTTCATCCTACCATCCTCTCAGAGTGACTGTGTGAATATTGCCGTACCATTCAGCATGTTTCCAGCATGCAGCATAGGGCTGTCTGTGTGTCTGTAACTCTTGCCTCAAGGCACTCAGGGCCTATTTATTGATCGAGTGGGAATGAATGAAAAGATGCACATGAAAATGCTTGATAAACAGTAAAGCTCTATACTACTCTAAGGGATCATTATTACATCATTTTAATTTTATAGCCAAAGTAGCAGTTGACTTAAGTGGGAGGCTTGCTGGATACAGCCAGTTTGAAAACTGGGTCTGCCTCTAACTTCCAGAAGGAAGTCGGGCAAGCCACTTAGTCTTCTGATCATAGGATTTTCTTTTTATTAAACCCAACTGGCCTCTCAGGATTGACGTGAGAGCTAAGATAACTCAAGGGAGAGCTCTGTAAACTTTAAAGCTGATGTCTAAGTGAGTTGTTGTGTTGATAGCAAAAAGTGACTTTCTATTGCAAAATTGAAATGATAATTGGAGGCAGCAGACCTGGCTGTGTGCCTTGATTTATGGATTTTTCTAGACTATGGGAAAAAAGTATTTTCTTGGATATTTCTAAAAATCTGTTTGCAACTAATGATTTTTCAGCAATTATAGAAAGAGGGAGGGATAAGTCGGGCTTTCCCTTATGGTTGAAATTTATACATGACTCAGTCTTTTCAATGAAAGATGTAATTTCCACTTCTACACCACTGCCCCCAAATTATTTCTACTGTTTCTGGAATATCACTAAATTGATCTTAATCAGATTTAACCCAGAATGAGAATTTCAGTATCTCTTTATATGTAAACCAGTCTTGTTTTTAGGTAGCCTTTCCCGGCAGGTCAGTGGGAGAATTCCCTCTTTCCCTTTGTTATAAGCTCTAGTTAGGTTTAAAAATTACCAATCATTTTGAGAATGTCTTTTTGGTTAAAAATTTTTTTCTCAACTGCCACATAATCTCTATCCCAAAAGAAAGTCAAGAATTCCTCTGTAAATGTTGAGATATCTCAGTGGAGGCTCAGATTCAGAAAAGGAATCAGACCATTTTTTTTTTACCCTAAAATGATCTTTTATGGCACTCTTCTCTCTGGTTTGGTTTTATTGTTAAACCCTGACATCCTATTTACACTAATGGGGAAGAGCTGATAGCATGGAAATGTCCTTAGAAACAGCGGTTTACCTCAGGGGAGGTCCCCGAAAGAGCTGGTTTGACTTGTGGTTGTTTGGTGGTTTTTTTTTTTTTTAATTTGGATTTGGACTTATATAGAACATGTATTCATCCAGTTCCTTCTGGAATCCAACACTCCTTTTAATTATGTAACAGGGTTATTGTTTTACTCTTATGAAAAACTAAGTTGCATTTTAGGGGACAGTTTCACAGAATACAGAAAAGTTTGCCAAGGGATAGGAGAGCTGACCAAATTAAAGTCAGCTCAGGAGGCTGGGCCACTATCCTGGCTTGATCAGCTGGACTTGTGTGAACCTGGGCAAACTGTTTAACTTCTATGGCTCTCTGGTTTATGCCTATGGATGGGAACCTATTCATTCATCAATTCAATCATTTAGTCATTCAAAGCAATATATGGTTTGGAAGTAATAAGGGGTTAAAGGGGAAAGCTGACTTGTAAGTTTCTGTGACCTATGAATGGTGACAAATGTGAAGGAAAGAAGGAATGAATGAATGCCTAGCATCCTGACCAGAGCTGTCCAGTACAAATATAATGGGACTCATATATGAAATTCACAAATTTATAGTAGCATATTAAAGACAGGAGAAAGAAGCAGGCACAAGGAATTTTAATGATATACTTGACTTAACCCAAATATAGACAATATAATTTCAACATATAATTAATATAAAGTTTATGAATGAGCTACTGTACCTCCTTTAAAAGGTTAAAAATCTGATATGTATCTTACACTTACACCACCGCTCACTTCCAACTATCTACTTTCCACATGCTGAAAAGCCCAGCTGGCCAGGGCTGCTGTATCAGACGGTGTAGGTCTGGATGTTTCCTGCTCAGAGACCCTGTTATCTTACTGCCAGCCTCCATTTTTCTGTTTCTCATTACTAATCTCCTTTCTTCTTGGGTCCTAGGTATTATGAGACGGGGAGCATCAAGCCTGGTGTAATTGGAGGATCCAAACCAAAGGTCGCCACACCCAAAGTGGTGGAAAAAATCGCTGAGTATAAACGCCAAAATCCTACCATGTTTGCCTGGGAGATCAGGGACCGGCTGCTGGCAGAACGAGTGTGTGACAATGACACGGTGCCCAGTGTCAGTTCCATCAACAGGTGAGGGGCTGGGGCTGGTGGGGACTAGAGTTCTGGGTGGGAGGATGGTTCTTGCAGGCTCTGAGTGTGCAATCCCTGAAGATTGTTCTCTTGGTACCAGACAGGAGGGAAGCTAATGGAATATGACGTCTCTCTATTGGCCCTTCTCTTCTCTCTTAAGTGGGTAGGAACCCTAGGCCCAGGGACAGGAGGTCATGCCAACATTGTGCCTACTTGAATTTCTTCTGATCCCAGAGTAATTTCCATCTCTCCCTTACCAAATGTCACTGTGTGTCTACAACTTAGTGACAAGCTGTCCTTGGTACATTTTTACAGATGTCACTTCTTTGAAAGCCCAGGCTCAAAGAGTTAGCATGGGTTTATCTTATTAATTCCCAGGATCTTTGTGGCCTCTCTTTTGGGCAGAGGTTGGATCACTGAGTTTGGGAAATAAACCCCTAACCTGAAGTTGGGAGATTGAGCTCCTATCCCAGCTCTACTCAGAATGCGACCTTGACAAAGCTCTTCTTTCTGTGACAGCCCAGGGCCCTGGTGGTTCTAATGTGGGTCTAGGGTCTCTAAGAGTGATACTCAGCCTCCAAGATGCTGTGGAGTTAGAGGATTGCCCTCTTCCAGTTGCCCTGACTCTCAACCCCTGGAGAGAATGAACTAGAACAAAACCATGAGTGTCAGGCTTGACTGTTTCTGAGAGTCACAGCAGCCCCTTTTCCTCTCTGATCTAACCCAGAATACATGGATCTCAGAGCTTTAAAAACCAATTCCTGAAAGAAAGTTTTCTACTGTGGATGGTAATTTGCCAGGTTTTTTTCTTTTCTTAGAGAGAGGCCAGGACTTGTGTATGCACAAATGTGTGTGTGTCTGTGTCTATAGAATGACGGTGGGGTTAGGAGCTTGTGGAGTTAAACACTGCCAACTAATTCCAGTGAAAAAACGCCTTGCTGGATGAACACAGGAGTCTCGTTTACATTCTCTGTAAAACACAGATGCAAATTATTTTGTGTTAAATTTTTATTTGAATATATTTTAGAAGAATATAAGTAGCACACCAAGCCAGTGAGTGTGAATTTTATGATGCCCTTATTTTATAGAAAAGAACTAATCGTGCCTTACAAAAATTCATCTCTTTAAGTCAAAAAATTAGTTATTTGAGGGCTGTCCTGGTGGCACAAGGGGTTAAAGCACATCACTACGAAGCTGTCTGCAGCCATTGCAGCACAAATTTGATCCCCAGCCAGGGAGGTGACCCACATAGTGCAGCAGACCTTTCCGGTCTTGCCCACTGCTCCCCTAAGCAGTGTATTTCAGTCAATCCACTTGTTCTGTTCCCTACTCTATCTCTGGTGAGTTCTCTCACTTTCCGCACCTCTGGCCTGTACCCCAGCTCATGTATGCATAAGTAAATAACTCTTAAAAAAATAAGTTATTTGAAAGAAATATGCAGCAGATGGAGCACAGTGTTTACAGAGGTGGTGAGGGCTATGAGGGGGTCAATGGAAAGAGTATCTAGGGAAACAGTGGATCTGTGCTGGGGTGGGGGGCGGTGCTGACTGCTGTTTGCTGGGCCTGGCCAAGTCAGGGGTCACTTAGGGATTCTAGTCCATAATGGTGGCCCACTGACTGTGCTTTTAGGCGCTTTCACATCTGTGGTCTCCTACAGCCCTCAGGCCTAATTCTGCCCTGTGACAGGCACAGAAACTGAGACCCAAGAGGAAAGTGCAAAGGGATTTTGAGGTAGAGATGGGAGTAAATCCTGGACTCTGCCCCTGACAGAATTTAAGATCTGTGAGAAGAGAGGCTAGGAGGACCAAACCATTCTACCCTGGTTCGGAGCCTCACACCTGGCATGTTTTGCTGCCTGTCTGCCAGCTCCCCATGAGACCTTGCTCTTTCCTGTGCCCTGGGGACTCTTCCTGGGAGCACTCTCTGGCTCATCACTCCATTCTTCACTGAGAGTGGGTTGGTGTCTTTTGCAACAATCCCTGTCATGCAAATAAATAAGTGTGGTGGGACAATCTGAGCTTGCTTGCTGCTGCCTTCTGCACCTCCAGCCACCACAAAGATGGAGCTGTCCCAGCTTCCAGTTTTATTTTTCATATGAAGGCAAAGCTCCCATTGCTTTCAAGCAGATACAGCTTCCAAATAACCATCTTGCAAATGTCATTGTGTATGAGGGTCCATAGCTCCTTCTCCCAGCCCCTGTCTCCCTTGAAGGCAACTTCTCACTATTTCAAATTGCTAGCGAGGGCAACACTGGATTTGCTGCTATTCTAGTGACATCTTCACTGTCCGGACGTAGAAGTGTGTGCCTCTCTGCTGCCTTCCAAGAGACAATCTGGGAGACCATGACTGACATGGGGTTTAGAAACACTGAACATACTAAGCTTGTGGGAGATTTCCTGGGACACAAGTCACTGTGGTGATACCGGCTGGGATGCTGTGCAATCTGCATGAGTGAATCTTAGAACAGCCTGAGTGTCAGTTGGAGGTGGCTGCCCTAGGGTTGACCCAAGTGGTGGGTGGGATGGAATCTCCCTTCTGTGGTTTCAGTCTTGTAACTCTAAGTTAGGGGCCACATGGGAGAACTGAGAGAGGCGTTTCTACTTAGAGAACAGTTCTACTAGCAACTGGTGATTGTCATGTGAAAATGTGGGACGAGAGTTGCTTCAGCAGAAGCTGGAAATCCATGTATTTATGCAAAAGCTGCCAAGTTATCAACACCAATGACTAATAAAGATAAAAATAATGCTGTGTAGGTAAAATAAAATTTGTATGACCTGGGAATGATAGTTTGCAAACTTGATTCTTAATCCTAACTTGGGCAACAGCTTTCTGAGTGATGTACCCATTCTTTCTCTCTTGTACATATCAGTTGCAGGTCTGCGTGTCACCTGCAAACCCTCTCCCAGCCTGGCTCAACAGGACCCTTGGCTTTGACCTTCAGCTGAGGGCCCAAGAGTCTTACTGCACCAATGGCAGTATGAGTAGTGCAGTAGTTGTAGGTATTTCTACAGTCCTATCTGGGCTGTGAGAAAATCTCCTCTTCCAAAGCAGTGGGGATGATGTTGAAATTGGATCCTAGCAAATAGCAAATGCCTGTAATACTTGAGTGCTCTTAGAGTTTTAATTCTCAGACTCTACATGGAATTTGAATCCAAATTGGCTTTAAACTTCATAAAGGAAATATTTTGACTGGAGTCACTTCCTACGAAAGTGGTTCAAAGAACAAAGCTCAGGCCTGGGAGCTGGGCTTTCGGCTGACTTACTGTGTGATCCTGGGCAAGTCATTTGAATGCGCTGGCTTCAGTTTCCTCATTCATAGAAATCGTTTCATTGCTGAGGTCCCTTTTAGGTTGGATCATCTAGGATGTTCATATGGCATCCAAGATCATGTTCACACTCAGCAAAATAAAGGCTGTACCTTTCAGTGTTGACTGCTAATTAGCCCAACTGTCAGGTTTCCTATGTATAACTCCTGTTGTAATGAGTCTTGAAGACACCAGGTTTGTTTGTTTGTTTTCCATTTCTTTTTTTAAGAATTGCTATGATTCAACTAGTCTTATTCTTTCCATTCTAATTTCTTCTCAATGGAATAGGATGCTCTTTGTTCTTATCTTGGCAGCTGCTGCAAGCATATGGATAAAATCGCTATCCCTGGGGGAAGTTTTAGAAGGTTCCCTGCAATGCTATCCCCCAAAATGCCAGCCACACTGCAACCTTAAAATGGAGTGTTGGAGTGGCTATCTTTCCCTCCCCAGCTCCCAAGGCGATTCTGTGTGTTTTAAGTCATTTGAGAAAAATATAAACCGTTCTTTCAAAGATTTTATTTTTATTTATTTCTGCATACAAAGACTGGGTTGTAGACTAGAGGGAATGAGAGGATTCACCAGACAGAGTAGGGAGCAGTAGCGGCAGGTTTACTGAAATACACTGTTGAGGGGAGTAGTGGGAGAGACAAGAAAGGTCTACTACCCCATGTGGGTCACCTCCCTGGCCAGGGATCAAACTCATGCTGCAGTGACAGCTGATAGCTTGATAGGGTTGAGACTTTCACCCTTGCACCACCAGGAAGGCCTGAAAATATGAACCCTTTAAGATTGAAGCTGAGTATTAATCTTTATGAAGGTAACATTGAAAATAGCAACAACTAATATTTATTGAACATTTATTATACAACTTCCACTATTCTCAGTGTTTGATTTAATCCTCATAGTAACTTTATGAAGTAGGAATGACTTATAAAAATATTTATTTATTTATTCATCAGAACTAGGGGACAAGCCAGAGGTGCAGGGGGCAGTGAGAGTCTTCACCAGAGACAGAAGAGTGGAGAGCAGAACAGGCAGATCAATGAAGTACACCGCTGAGGGGAGCAGTGGGTGAGACAGGAGAGGTCTGCCACGCCATGTGGGTCACCTCTGGGACCAGGGATCGAACTCACACTGAAGTGGCTGCATCCTAACCCATTGTGCCACCAGGGAGGGCCCAGGAATAATTTTTTATCCCACTTTGCAGATAAAGAAACAGAGGCATCAAGAGATTAAGTAATTTACCCAAAGGCATGTGACTGAAAAATGCAAGACTGGGATTCAAATTCTAGTATTCTAGTCTTTTTTGTTTTGTTTAGACATGCATTTAGTGACTAAACAATGCTTTGAAAATTGACAACTTTATGTTGAAATCCTATGGGAAACAGTCATAATATATACTACCATATAGTTGTATAAATTATATTTATATTATATTATATTATAAATTATATTTATATCTTATATAGCCATATGTTTACATATCTAGGTATATATGCTTGTAGACTGACAAATACACACATTTATATACATATATGCATGCACATCCATACATGTGTGCTTATATGTGTATATATGTATATGTCCACACACAAACACATGTACAGAGATGGTAACATACATAAAAATAATAAAATTAGATCAGATGTTATCTTCATTCTGTGTGATCAAAAAGATTACATCACTGCTAGATTTTTGTCAATATTCTCCACATTTGCTTAGTTAACATGAGTGGTGTAAATATTAGAGAAGATAGATAAAGAAACACTCTGAATGTAGTTGAGGCACTATATATATTGACTCATTAAAAAAGGGAAAGGACCTTTGCTGAGCTCATGCAGCCTGGATTCCAGAGGGCCTGTGGTTGGGATGTGATGTGGACAGAAACGTCTATTCCAAGTCACGAGCTGAGTGTGCTGCATGGCCCGGGCGCTGGGTGATGAGCCAGAATGGAAGACAGAGGCCACAGCAAAAGAGGTTAAGGGAAGGCACCTGTCACTTCTGTCCTGTGCACTTGCAAAAGCTGGAGACCCAAAGCATCTTGAAATGAACCTCTAGAAACAATGGTCTAGAATGTGAAAACCCTTCTCTTATAATGTTGACCAAAAAAATACATTTTATTAAGAGAAAATTATGTTTCCAAATATGCTTAGTAATGTTAGCTAAAGGAAATATACTGAAATGTGATTTTTAGATGTCTTCTTTATACTTATCCAAATAGTCCACAATGGGTAGAAACTACTCTAGTAATTAAAGTGTTGCTTTAAAAGGTAATAATTGGAGATTGAACTAGAACATTTTCAAAGAAACTGAACATTTTATTACCGCCCAAAGTTCAGGAAAGAAACTTTCTTGCGGACATCTGGCTGAAGCCCTGGTGGGCTGCTCTATCATATGCCAAGCTCGGGGTCATGGTTAAACCCCTTATGTTGTTCCAGGAGGAGATTTAGTAACTAAGCTTCCCAGAGCCCAAGATTCTGCAGAAGGCCTTCAGAGCTGCCAGGTGATAAAGGAGAGTCAGGGCTGCTTTTATCCCTTTATGCCCTGGGCTTTTCCATAGGTCATTTTTCCCCCAAAGGGATTTAATTACTTAAGTAAGCCAAGAATGGACTGTTGCAAATCCCTTACTGTGTTGAGGCCCACACATAGCAGAGCAGACTTACTCCAGGTCACGATCAAGTTCATATTAGAACTGGAGCAAAGTCTCTGTAAAGACAGGCAGGGTGGCCCCTAGTTCCCAGGACTATGGAGTCTGTTCATGAGGTTTTATATGAGGTGAACAAGTTTCCTTTTAGAAAAACCCAGCCAGCCCTCCCCTGGTAGCACTTCAACAATTTAGTTTCAGAGCTACATATTCATCCCCTTCATGGTTATTGCTTTTTTTTTTTTTTTAAAGATTTGTTTATTTATGCATACAGAACTGGGGTACAAGCCAGCGGTGCAGGGGCAGTGAGAGGGTTCATCAGAGACAGAGCAGGGAGCCGAACAGGCAGATCGATGAAGTACACTGCTGAGAGGAGCAGCAGGCAGGTCAGGAGAGATCTGCCACGCCATGTGGGTCAGCTCCCAGGCCCGGGATCGAATTCCCACTGAAGTGGTTGTGGCTCACTTGCAGTGCTGCGTCCTAACCCCCTGTGCCACCAGGGAGGGCCCTCTGGTTGTTTTTGATGTGTGGGGATCTTAGTCCTCTTGTGGCTCTCTAAGAAGAGAAACAGAGCATGAGAGCTCCCAGGGACAGAGACATTACCTGGTTTAGTCCCTTCATTCCCTGAGGGAGGAACAGAGCTATCTAACATCACTCAGTGAATTCTTTATGGAGCTGAAGCTGTCATTGAGAAGGGGATACCTACTGGTAATATGAACATATCCACCTCTTTCTACAGAAGCACCTGAGGTCCAGAGAGGGTACAAGGTACCCAGAATCTTCGGAGGTAGGGGATGAGTTGGGTTAATTCAAAATTCTTCCAGCCCCGTAAATCCCAACCCGGACAAATAATCTCTCCTCATGTCTGCCCCAGCTTGATCCATGTCCCAGCTTGATGTGGGTTTTCTGCGCATAGCTAGTTGAGATCACTTCTTCTCATGATGGTAAATAGCCAATTATTTTTTCCCCAATGTCCACAGGATCATCCGGACAAAAGTTCAGCAGCCACCCAATCAGCCGGTCCCAGCTTCCAGTCACAGTATAGGTAAGAAGAACTTCAAAAAAAATTTAAAAATCTAATGGGTTCCAAATATTCTAAAGAACTTTTAATCATTCTTATGGACAGATAATTCTGCATAAAACACTTCGGCACACGTACTAATGCGCCTTCTTTGTCATTCTCCAAGGGCTGAACCTGGTAAATGAATTTTATAAATACTGCTAAAAGGTTTTGAATTTTACTGATTATTATGATAAATAGCTTTCACCATGAGACAGAAAATTGAAATCTAAGCCAAAAAAAAAAAAATCCACTAATGGGGGTCTATAGAATGTCAGATAATTAAAGTAATAAATCAAGAAAGGGATACTTATTCATAACATTTTCTGCATCATTAGTCAGTAAGTAGTTTTGAATGTGTTTTTTTCTTCTATCAACCAGCCCTTCTACAATTCTTTGTGCACTTGCAGTCTTGAGTGAAGATGTGGCAAAACTTCCCAAACTTTCTTTTTCTCTCTCTCTTGCTTTAATCTCATGTACTTCATGAACTGGTGGAGGTTCCAGTGGGGTTTCTGACACTCACAGTGAAGTCTGAGAGTGACTCTGACTCTAAGGATGGGGGTTATATTCCCTACTATTCAAGAGTTCCACCTTTCCCTTGCATTCCCTTCCCAGCAAAAATCATGAGATGAAAATGACCATATGTATTTAAGACCTATAGTTTCTCCACTTGGGAAAAAGGAAACACTTTTGGTGAACTGGGGGAAAAGTTATTCTACTATAAAAAAGGAAGCAGCATTCAGCAAGTCTCTGAAGTTGTCAGCCACAGTCCCTGTCAGTTTTGCTAAACCACGCCTCAGACATTGTAATGTTCCCATACCTTAGTCACTCCTGTAACTGAAAACTTCAGCTTTCCCTGTGGTCATGGAGGACAGGCAGAGACCTGGTGGATAGTTCCAGCCTGGCCATTAACACACCCAGTGAGTGTGTGAAAGTTTCTTCATCTCTCTGTGCCTCAGTTTCCCCATCTGTGGGCTGAGAGGTACACACCTGGTGCTCTGAGGTCTCTGAGTCTCCTGAGTAGTTTCTTCGAGTAAAGATAAGACAGAATTTCTCCCTGCCATAAAACAATTTTTCCTTTAACAATTTGTTCAAGAAACATTTGCTACACTCCTGCTGTGTAGACTGTGGCATTGGAGACTAATGTTATAAAGAAGGCAGGACAAAATCCCCATTCTCAAGGGCTTCTCAGTTTAATGGGGGAATGTGACAGAAAAGTTTGCAAAATGCTGAGTGAAATCTAACCCGGTGTGGTAGAAGTCAAAGGGAGGAACTACCATTTTTGTTGAACTGGGCTGAAAAGAGGGGTAAAGGAAGACCTGGCGAAATGTTTGTGGCTGAGATTTCACTTGTGGCTTTAACTGTTTCAGGTCAACTAATAGTGACTGAGAATTTTCTTTCAAGTGGGGAGAGGAATAATTCGTCTTGTGGGTCAGCAGGATGCTTGGTTTTGTCTCAGAAATCTCTGTAAAAATTGTGTATGTGTGTGTAGCCCCTTATATTTCACAAACTTATTGAGGAGTGAGAATATGGAACTTTAGAGAGGTTAAATAAATAACTAGCCCAACGTCACATTGCCAGTAAGTGTTGGAGCCAGAATTGGAACCTGGGTCTTTGAGTCTCGTGCAAAAATTTGCACACCTATCGTGGGCTCTGGCCAACAACAGGGTGGTTGTTTTGCTTAAAGCACTAAACGACTTTTGGGCCTCTTTCCGCTGTTGTTTGGACCTCGATATAGAAAAGGTGAGATTTGCATAAATCTGTTTTGAGTAGCTTCTGCTGAAAGAAAAGAGAAGTTAACGATTTCCACTTCTGTGTCTCCTAAGGAAGATCAAAAATCAAACTCAAATATGAGAAGAAAGGCATTGCTCCCCCTGGGTCTATAGGAGCAAGAGCTGGATGTGCGCCAGGGACAGCAACAACGGCTTCTTAATGCAATCACCATTTCTAGTAATTTCCTACACTTCGAAGTCAAAGGCAGCCCCCACCTGCCTCTCGCTAGTTATAGCCCAAGGAAATATGTCTGAGATTGGCTTGCAGGTTTTAATGAACCAAGAAAGAATTCCCATAGCCCTCGATGGAGATTCAGCTGTACGGCTTGTGTCCAACCTGATGACTCACTGGTCTTTTCCTGGACTCTGTGGCCAGGGGTTAATGGGAAACTGGCATAAAGCCTCCCCTCCCCCACTCTTATCCTTAGGATCTCTGAGAACTGACCTCAGTCATAATAAGTCACCGACCCTTGTCCACATTTCCAGCCAGGGGCACTCTAGATTTTGTTTTGTTTTGTTTTTTGCTTTTTTTTAGGGGCACTCTGGATTTTAAGTCAATAGGCTAAAGGCTGCCTTGGTGTGACTGATCGTTGGCTGGAGGACTGAAAAAAATCATTAGCTTTATGGAGTTTCAGTTCTCCCATTTGATAAATGGGGGTAAATAATACCAGGTTAAATACTACTAGGTTGTTGGAAGCATCAAGTGAAACATTATTAATTATGTTTAGATATTATTTAATGAGGAGCCGATCATTCTAGGAGTTAAGACTTTTGTTTTTGGGTTCTAGTCACTACTCTATCTCTTATAAGCTGCGTGACTTTGGGCAAGTCACTTTTCTCTGAACCTTGTCTTTCCAAAGGGTTTACCCCATTCAAAACAGAGCTCTCCTCGGAAAGCTTTCATAAGCTTGAATGGCATGACATGAAGAAGCAATGGTCATTAACTTACACGGAAAAAAATTTTTTGTGTTCCCAGAGTCAATAAAATAACCTATCAAATTATCCCAAGTAATACATAGGACCTAAATGACACTAACATGTAGCAAAAGCAAGACAGATATGAGGCACGCTTTAAGGTTGCGTGTATCATGCGTTTAAAGGGACGGAGCATCACCTGGCTGTTTTCCCTGTGGCTGGGGTTAGGCTGCCTCATAGAACTGGTGGCAAAACAAACTCAATTTCCCTTTGCGACTTGTGTCGTAAAAGTAGAACTCCTTTGGCTTTCTTTCAGTGCATGAAAACTGCTACTCACATAGGTCTTTCCTAAAGGCAAAGTGGCAGTAACTCCAGCTTTCAAAACTTTCAGAGTTAAATGAGATGCTTCAACCTGGCAAGGAGTAGCCCTCAGAAAGCATTAGTTGTCACAATATTACATATATATTATACTACACATAATTATATATTGCACAGTATACAGTAATATCAGTGTTATATAATACATCGCACAATATGCAGTAATATATCAGTGTTAAAAGTTTAAATCCAGGTAAACTGGAAGGGAAAAAGACAACACAGAACTGTAAAACTGCTGGAGCTTTATTAGCTGTGTGTATGACTGTGCAAATATTTATGTCTGTGTGGATGGCTGGGTATGTCAGCAGGATTGAAGCACTAATGAATAAATATAGGTCTTTTTTATTTTTTTAAGCCCTGGCCGGTGCTGGGTCCCAGTTCCCCACTTTCAGCATCCCTGGACAGGCTAGGATTTGAGTCAGTTGTCCCTGTGTTCCTTTTTGCACTGTCAGGTCTCCCTGCTCATCGTCCTGCAGCAGAGGCCCTGGGCTGAGCCTGGGCAAACCCAAGGTAGAGCCAAAAACCCAGGGTAGGGCCGGTCTCACCGCGCCCAGGTGTGGCTGCAGCCATCGGGCTAGTGTCTTCCCGGTGCACACGCCGCCGCCTTCACCGGCTCCTGGTCGGGTCGGTGCCCTGCAGCCCGGTGGAGGGTGAGTGCTTTTGTCTGGCGGATTTGCCCTCGGCACCCGCCCCGCCAGCCCCGCAGCCCTCCTGCTGGGCCCTGACCGCCCTCTCCCTCTGCGCAGTGTCCACGGGCTCCGTGACGCAGGTGTCGTCGGTGAGCACGGACTCGGCAGGCTCCTCGTACTCCATCAGTGGCATCCTGGGCATCACGTCCCCCAGCGCGGACACCAACAAGCGCAAAAGAGATGAAGGTAAGAGAAGCCTGCGCAGCCCTGTCTGTGGGGAGGGAACCAACGGCTGTTTGCGGCCAGGCCAGTCGCTGAAGGATGGAAGCACAGTTGCCAGTGGAGCGTCCTCTTACCAGCAGAGCCCCCAGGCCTGGATCTCTTTGGTGGGCTGAGCCCACCTCGCTCCAGCCCTTCTTCCAGCGGGGCAGCAGAGCTGTTTTCCCAGCTCCCTAAGCTTCACCCCTTGGGTGGAATAAGGCAGGCCTGGCAGGTCCCTTGTAGTTTCTAAGAGCTTTGGGCCTCTAAGACCTTCAAGTGCAGATGGCTGCCTGAGGGCAGTGTGTGAGCAAGAAACCTGTGTCCCCTTTGTCAGCAGCCTGGAGGTAGGGTGGAGTCTGCACCCTGCTGCCAGAGAGGCACACTTGTCTTGGGGTGGGGGCCAAGGGTGTCTTTTCTGAGGGGCTGTGTATGCCTGTCTCTCCCAGAATACCTCCAAGTCGTGGTGGAGACTGTTGGGGGCTGAGGAAGTGAATAATCTTTTCATCTCTGCTCTTGGACCTGGAAGGAAGGAGTCCAGGGGTTTCACAGGGATTATAAAAATGACAGTCTTCCCTTTTTTTTTTTTTTTTTTTTTTCTTTTTCTCAACCTCTGGGTCTACCACCCGGGCCTCTGGAGCTGGTCTCCTTGTCCCGGATAACAGCCACCTTACCCCCATGCCTTTCCCTGAATGGACTGCCAGCTTGGCTGATGTTAATGGGTTTGAGAGGAGAAAAAGCCCTCTGGGAGTCTCTAAAACCTTCATCAGGAAAGGAAGGGGAAAAAAAAAAAAATTGGCCGGCAGTGGTCTAGGGCTTGAGAGCAGCGTGACAGAAATCTTGATTCAATTATTCTGTTCCTCTGCACAATTCCCTTTCTCGGCTCCCTGTAAGGGATGTATGTTCTCGTGAGCACATGCCTAAGTACTTAAGATCTGTAACTAGAAAATTGAGTTGGCCCAGCAGTGGACTGGCCTGTGGTCTGTGTGTTCCAGGCAGTGCAGTGCAGAAGCTGGGCCTGCCGCCTCTGGCTGGGGCTGTGGGTACGTTTGGGGATGAGTCCCGGCTCCTAGAACCTGCTCAGCTCTCTCCCCTGCCCCTGACACTCAGAGCAGATGCCAGAAGTCTTTAACTCAGTGGGTTGCTGTGCTGTTACTGCAGGAGGCAGTGGGCCTGCCATGTCTGTTGGTTTATGGGGATGGTGGTGTCATCCTTTCTGCCTCTGTCACCTGGACTCGCAGAGATCCAAGCTGGGGCCTGGCTGTGTTTGCTCAAGGTGGAGGGCTAGGTGGTGTGGGATGCCCGCAGCGGCGGAGGGATCTGGATGGAGATTTTTGGAGAACGAAAAAAAAAAAAAATGAGTTTGGTGTTTATCACCAGATGGGTTCTAAGTTAGGGGAGTGTTTGAGTGTGCAGTATGCTATCTTAGCCTTTAGCCTCTGGTTATTGGTTATTGTTTAGCTTCTCAAGCTGCTTTGAAAAGTATAGAGTGGTCAGAATGTGAGTTAATCAAGACGGCTCTGTGCTGCTGGTCAGATCATTCCTTGTGGACTGTGGTCCATTTGGGCTATTGACCTTTCAGAGAGACAACGACAAATTGGAATGTCCAGCTGGACTGCACAGGGGTCTGGGTACCGCAGCGTCTAGAGAATACTGCTTGGCTCTAGGGATGCTTTGGCTCAAAGTTTGAGCAGGACTGAGTTGTTGCTTTCAAACTGTGGAGTGTTGGCATGGAAGGCAGGAGGAACGAGAACGTGCCATGTGCGTTAACTCCCAGCATGTAGCACATGCAGAGCAAAGGAACTCATAAATAAGATTGTGAGCCAGGGTTGCCTCTGGAGGAAGTGAGCATCCCGTCGCGAGAGGTATGTAAGTATAGCCTAGGGGTTACTTGCTAACTTGCTGCATAAGAGTCTCAAGAATCAGATGTCAGCTTGCATCTTTCCAGTTTTGAAATTTATGACCAAGTCTTGATGCCCAGGAAGATGGGGATGGTGATCCAATCTGTGATCTGGGGGCTAAGGAAAAATGATGTGATGGTCCTGAAGGCCTTTAAGAGTAGATGAATAAGAAACCCAGGCACCAGAGTCTTTCGCCCGCCTGCTGCCCTGCACCACTGACAGGTATAAAGTTGAGCAGAGGGGTGGGCGACCGGCCTTGCTTTACCCCAGCAAACTGCGTGTGAGGAGCATTGCGTACTGCTCCTCATTGTCCCTTCCAGCCTCCCTGTGTCCCTCCCTGGATCCTTGCATTTGCTCCAGGGGGAGTTGAAGAGTCATACATCACCACCCCACTTTTGTAAGGGAGGAAACTCATTTTCTAGGCAGTTTCGTGATGGTGGCAAAGCCACACTGCTGATAGAGTTGGGAGGAGCTGGAGCACCGAAAGCCTCAGTTCCCTGTTCCTGTCTGTCTGCCTGCTGCTCTTCCACAGAAAGGTTTTGGGGGTGAAGCAGCCTGGGGCTAGGCAGAACCTGGGGGCAGGGTAAGGAAGAATTTCATGCTGCTGACAGTGCTGTGGGAAAGTAAAGAACCAGTCGCCGGGGGAAGCACTGGGGAATTGCCAGAGGCACCAGGGGGCTGCCTGTGAGGTTGCAGGTCACTTTAGCATTTTTCTCAGAAGCCCTCAGATGCCCTGGGGCAAGGCCATAGCACAAGAGAGGCCTCAAGGTCCCACGAGGAGGGCAGACCACCCTCAGATGCAGTGGCTGAAGCTCTGAAGGGTGGAGCCCCTTGCTGAGCTCTGGTGCTTGGTCATGTCCTTCTGGGACTTGAGTTTTGCACCTTGGATGTTTCCTCAAAGTGAGGTGATGGTCCTAGATTCCACCACAGAGGTCCTGTCCCTTAGAACTTGCAGACTGTTGGGCAAGTCCAAAGTCACTCTGATGTGCAGTGTTGAGTTGGGGGTGGCACTAAACGGGAGAGAAAGGTTGCTGATGTAGACCATAAGGCTCAGAGAGGGCTCCTCTTTGGAAGTGGCACTTAATTGAGGGAAGCATACTTTATAGATGTGAATTAATTAAAATCTTATAAAATGAACCATTTAGATTTAAATTAATTAAAATCCCAAATAATGAACATTCCATGTGGCTGGTGACTATGGGATCGATAACCTGGTTTGGATACAAATCCTTGGTACAAAGTAGGTGCTCAATAAATGCTCCTTGGTGGAATAGACTGGCCATATGCCTATAAAGCTTATTCATGATTAGTGAGGAGGGTGTGGGGGGGTGTCTCTAGTCTCAGTGGGTTTCTATCTAATATTTTGGGCTTCCTATAAAGCTTATTCATGATTAGTGAGGAGGGTGTGGGGGGGTGTCTCTAGTCTCAGTGGGTTTCTATCTAATATTTTGGGCTTCCTATAAAGCTTATTCATGATTAGTGAGGAGGGTGTGGGGGGGTGTCTCTAGTCTCAGTGGGTTTCTATCTAATATTTTGGGCTTCCGTGGAAAGCTCTATTTGAGTAAAGAACTTCTTGAGCAAAAGCAAAGAAGTCAGATTACTGTCAGTGGCTGCCAGGGGCCTACTCAGCCTGGAAATTCTAGGATTCCCTCAGGGTGTTTGTTTGCCTCCTAGGCCAAGTGTGGCGAGGCTGCTGCATCCAAATCTCAGATGGACTGTCCTGTGGGTGTGGTAGTAGGTAACAACATTCCTGGGGCCAGAGCTGGGCTGGTCAAAGGAAATTAGAGGCAGGCAATCTCACTCACTGTGAGGATCCGCTTCCAGATAAGAGCCAGGCTGGGCTAAGGATGACAGTTTATCCTAGGAAGGCCACGTGAGCTGGGCAGGGAAAAGCAGGAGCAGACCCACACAGAAAGCATTTGGTTTGGGCTCCGTGGCTTTTGAGGCCTCACACAATCGGGGTACAGGAGCATCGGCGGCTGCCCTCTATCTGGCAGTGGGCCTGCCTCCTGTTGCCTGACGCTGCTGCGCATGTGGTCTTGACCAGGCAGGACCATGTTGTACGCTGGGACCCTGCTATGGTGCCGCCGGGTGCAGAGATGCTCAGGAGGTTTCTGGATGCTCTGAGACTCGGCTGGGACGCTGCTTCATCTCTTGGTTGGGTCTGCCTGAGACCTTTCATGGCATCAGCCTTAGAAATCCTGCTGGGCTGGAGGGAAAAGCCTGAGGTGGTGCCTCCCGCCCCTGGAAGGCTGGAGGAGGAGGTGGTGGTGGCCAACTGGACTGGGCAGAGCAGACAGGGTGGTGAATAGCAGCTGTGGGGGAAAGGGCAGCCCCAGACCCTCTGTTCCCTTCTGAGCCTTTGATCTGTTGTGGGGCCTCCTTCCGCTGTCTCCAGGGCCCCATTCAGGGCCCATCGACCTCCCCTCCTCTTATCCCCCCAGACTTTGAAAGGCCCTGAACATACCAAGGTCACCCGAGTGCGAATCCCTTTCACGAGTGCGAATCCCTTTCTCTAGCTCAGAAAGTCAAAAACCGCCTAATCCAGCGCCAGAGTGACGGTGGGGGCCAGAACCTCTTTTTGGGCAATAGAAGGTATATTGCAGATACAATTCCCTGCCTTCAGGTTCCTTCCTTCTACCTGACATGCAAAGGTCATTGAACACAGCAGAAGCCTCGCCTTTTCCCAAGAGTTGCCAAGTCTAGCAAGATTCTCATGGGGGAGGCTTGGGAACATTTAGTGGGGGGTTCTTTGTCAGGCTACTCTCTGGGGGTGCCTGTCTCTTCTCTGTCTTTGTGTGTGTCCCCATGTCTTTCGTTTGGGATGCATCTCTTTCAGTGTTCTATGCCTGTTTCTGTTCTGTTTATTGAGACTTCTGTGTCTGCTTTTGTCTTCTGGTTTAGCTCTCGCTTTGATTTTTCCTCACTCACCCACTCCCCCTTCTCCTTCTCTCTCTCTCTCTCTTCTTCTCTTTCTGTTCAATCATGGGCAGTCTTGGCCTTCCTCCCTTAGGACTCTAGAGAGGACTAGGACTCACTCAGACCCACCCTATATTTTGCTCCTGGGCTTGTGGCAGAATGCAAAAG